ACCAATTATCCAAATAATGTTTAGTCCTAGAAAACTATTATTATCAGAACACACGAGCAAAACATAGCGGCTAGCAGATCAATGAATGAGAGGGCAGCGTTACCAGAGTTGCCCATATACCACATGTTACAACACAGTAGGGCTATTGCAGACAGAAACAATACTGTACTACATCGATGTTTCCTGTCGGCTCAAGTTTTGAGTGGACTTTGCTGTTCCGATGAGCATGAACGGTATACGAGTGGAGCGACTGAGCGGAGCGCACACGCATAGAGCGGGATAACGGATAATACGCAGAGCGTCACACCCATAGGGTCACACCACGTGAAAGTGAAACCTGAGCGGTGAACTAATTTTCGGCAGCCGAAATTTCCGTGCATCTCTAATTATTGGCGACATCAGAAATGGATATTACATAATATATGCTTTTTTTTTTGAAGATTTTAGCAATTTAATAATATAAAAAATATATTTTTCACACGGCACCCCTGCTCTCGACAGACGGCACCCCGGTTGGGAAACACTGGGTTAGACTACCTGGATAGGGGAAGGCTTCTCCCAGCCCATTTCAAAGATGCCCATCAGCAGTTCCCTCTTAAGGCAGTAATCTTCAAACTCGTTTCCTTTGGTTGCAGTCACATCCTGTCAAAAAGGAGGATGTTTAAAGTAAAAAAAACAGAGTAAGTAGAGCAGCAACCAATTTAAAATACCACCATCTAATAAGAAAACAGGTTTTAGAACTTACTGTGGTTTTCGCTCTCATGTCTTTCGGTGGAAGATGCAGGCACTTCTTCCAGTCATCACCAAACCTAGAAGAAATTGTTCATATTCAACTTTACAGTTGTATTCATAACAAACAGCTTAAATTACATGATTGATGCAAGGAATCAATGTCAAAAGAAACCAGTCTTCAAAATATTTTAAATCAAAGATTACCTGATACCACCACTGCTTTGGGGTATATTGCATCCTTTCTGGGACATCACAGGTGTTTTTCCTGACTGTAATGAGGAAGTAAGCGATCCTGGCTGGAGGTTCATGGGCTTGGACTGTCCATTCTGTTTGCTCATTGGCATGACTGAAGCAGGGATCTCTGTTCTCGCCATAGCCATTGTCAGATTTTTTTCCTCAACAGTTTCAAACAAATTAATCTTTTTGCTTTTTTTTTTTTAGTTTGGTTTTGCTACTTTTCAGCTATTCGTAAAACTGTTTTACTGTTACGCTCACTGCACTTTTGTGTAAACAGTTTCTGGTACGTACAGACCTCTTAAAAAGAAGAGTGCCTGGCGTATAACAATTGTTTATAATAAGCTCTCCCAAAATAGGAGAAAATTATATTTATATGAATAAATATATCACAAGCCTAGAGCCAACGTACAAAACTAGCAAACAGGTACTTGTAAAATTCAAGTCTTGCACAAGTATTTTCAAAAATGCAAGTTAGCAAAAAATCTATTAATGCTTTTCAAAAGTCACTTTTTACGTTATCCCTGAAAATGTACAAAATATTCACTTTTATTTATTTGTTTTTTTTTTCTAATTACATTTTTTTTAAACCGCTGGATTGCAGAAATCCTGTAGTACCCTCTGTATTCCTTTTGGTATCAAAAAATATAAAGTATTTACATTCAAAAGCACAAGGCTCAGCTAAAGGTTCTTAATGTGCTCTTAAAATTCCCGTATTCTCTTCGTCATGAGGAATTTCAAACTTTGCTCAATGTCACTTGCTCCTCTTTAACCTGCTGAAAAACTCCAAACTGAGGGATTTCAAACTTAAAGTCAATGCAGGATTACGAGCCCAAAATAACGTTAAGAGTCCGTAAGTGTTTCCACTCTTGGCTTCACGATGTCTCGTGTTTTCCTCACTTGGTCACAGTTCTTGAACACTTAGTGGAGGAATTTCTGGAACACCTGCCAAATATTAAAGATATAACAAAATTATCATCATAACTATTATACATAACTATTTCTAGCAGGGGGGAAAGTTTCACAGTTTCCCTTTAAATACTTTTGAACAGACGTGTTCGAATTAGATTAAATAGAACAGAATATATATAGAGAGAGAGAGAGAGAGAGAGAGAGAACCATTATGCCGAAAAGCTGCTTTGCTTTACATTTAGTCATTAAGGAGACGCTATTATCCAAAGCGACTTAATAAAGAAATAAGGACAATAATTGAATGCTTTCAATACATTCTGCTAGCAAGGCACCCACGTTTAGCCAACAGTTTCTAACACTTATTAAAAGTGTGGAAGCACTTGGAACTCATATGATAAATTGGATTAATAACACATCTGATTGAAGTCGAAGAGGATTTAAGGTCACTTACTAATTCACTAAAGGTTTAACGATTAGATCCGAAGCGAAAAGTGTGCGTGAGCGTCATGAGTTGTTTGCCGAGCTAACTAAGCTAGACGACAAGCACCACAAAGGTGGTTTACCGACTAAAGTTTCCTCCTTTCAGACTCAACGCGCGAGTTCAAGCAGGCAGTCCCAACATTAAATAAGAACACAACGCAGCACATTTTTCTGGGGACATGGTGAACTGTGTTTCCTGAGGAGTGGGATACAGGTGAACTATATTTGAAAGTATTAAAAAGCATGCTAGCTCAACCTGCCAGGTTAGCTTAGCTAGATGCTAACGAGAGCGCAAGAGAGACCCGCTAATGCACGTTGGGAAAGATAACTGCCTAATTCAATTACAATTATGTCCAAGTTCGTTACCTCCGAATTTTGAAGGATTTGATTCCTCGAGTATTTGATTAATTCATCGAACGTTTCTTGAGAAATTCTTTGTTGCTCTGGCTTTTGTCTCTTCCGTCTAGAGATTTAATATGGCCGTGCGCTGACTCGAGCTCGGAGGACATACGCACGAATCGAAATCGACCAATCAGGTGACAGAGTTTGAATATGGTGGGCGGTACCATTATCACACCCGCCTCCGTGCTTCTATGCAGGCACTTATTTAGACCTGTGGACGTTTAGAAACACTTTCTACATATAGAAGTGGAAGATTAGGAATATTTATTTCATAATAGATTGCTTGTTTCTTTTATTCATACACCACAAGTTTAATATTTTTAGTGCTGTCAAAAGATTAATCGTGATTAATCGCATCCAAAATACAAGTTTTTGTTTACATAATATATTTGTGTGTACTGTGTATATTTATTATGTATATATAAAAGCACACATACAGCATATATTTTGAAAATACTTACATGTATTTACATGTATATATTTATATTCATATAATTTATATTGTATATAAATATATATTATATAAACAAAACATATTTTTCTTAAATATATACATATATATATATATATACGTGTTTGTATTTATATATAAATAATAAATATACACAGTACACACATATATTATGTGAACAAAAACTTTTATTTTGGATGTGATTAATCGCGATTAATCGTTTGACAGCACTAATATTTCATATCAAGCAGGCTCTTCAATGACATGCCAACTTTTTTTAGTAGTGAAATATTTAGTCGTGTTAGAAAAAAAAAACTAAAAAAAACTATTATTGATATAAATAATTTTCACAAGATATATTGAAATGGTTTGTGTTTTGATCATTACAGTTTAAAATATGAAATAATGGAATATATTTTGTTAAGACAAACGAAAGTAGGCTAAATAAATCTATACACATAAAAAGCATTTGAAAAGTAGTGAAAAACGATGAAGGCATGGAAAAAGTTTCAAAGACAGTTTTAATGTGACCTTCATATAACAAAAATAAAAATGTTGATTTTTTTTTTGTGCTTCACATTGAAGAAAGTCATATTATGTATTATACAAATGAAATGCACACATATTAGGGGTGGGGGGAAATCAATACAGCATATTTTCTGTGGCAATACTGTATCGATACACGGACGCCAAGTATCGATCTTTTATTATACTGTTTGGTAGAACAACAAAATCCATTTATTTACAGTCCACTAGATGGTGGTGTTGAGTTTTTTTTCTAAAATCCTTTAATGCACGGCAAGCTGTTGATTATCCCGCTTATTCCATGGTCATTTGCCAGTATTGACAATTTAAAGCTGTTTATGATGTTAGCAGCGCAATATTTAACTGGAAGGGTAAAAATGAGAGTTATTTTCGTCAGTTTACGGCTCGTTAGCTCTAGCTTTCTGCTCGCTCCAAATCAGATACAGAGAAATAGAGCGGTAAGACCACTTTTATTTGAATGAATTATAGCATTTATTTGAATGAATTATCGATCGAGAGAGAGATGACAGTTGTGTGTGTGAATTACCTGCGTCTGTGCGTCTCTCTACAAACTATGAAGCTGTTTAGTTACTTCGATTTTACCTCGTTGCTGAGGAAGATAAACAAGAGATCTAGTATCTATGTTATTTTATTAATAAAAGTCGCGGGGCAGCACCGACAATAAGTTTCTGTGTGTGCGCAATGCGATCTGCAATCTCCGACCTCTCTCCCTCTCACTGGGCCTCATTTATCAATCTAACGTAGAAACGAGCGCAGATCTGTGCGCACAAATCAACTTACGACAGAGTTCACCTGTGATTTATGAAACATTCGTATGCCGCCGATCTCATCGTACGAGTGATCGCATGTTGATAAATGTGGCGCCAGAAAACAATCGTCATTTGAATATCAAATTATTAAAACAGTATGCGAGGCGAGTAGTACGTCCGAATTCATAGTATTCGAAAAACAGTAGGCGAGAAGTACCCGGATGACCTACTACTTCCGCCCGAATTCCGTAGCATGCATATGATGGACACTTTACTATCCCATGAGGCCACGCGAGAGGAGGCGCCATATTCGAGAACGGCAGAAGGCGGCGACGCGGCTCTCTTCAAGTGTAAGTACCTCAGGGAAAAACCTTGTTCACTGTGGTTAAATTGCACTTGTTTAACATGATCTAAGTGAACGGCTGACTTATTGAAAGTTTAAACATTGTAAGTCGATGAGATGATTTCGTGAGTCGGCTGTAAAAAGATGTTTAATCGCCGATGAAAGTGGTAAGAATTACGTGAAACATTGCTGATGTTCGCAGTAGTGAGGGCTCTTTAAAGTTAGGCGCTGTTGTGGAGACGCATGTCACGTGACAACGTCAACATGGCGGATGTAGTACGTCCGAATTCCATTCATACTACTCGCATTCATACTAGTAAGAACGTACTTTTTTAACGGTCGAGTAGTACGTTCAAATTCAAATATAGTACCTACTAAGCAGTATGCGATTTCGGACGCACGACACACTGGATGTGTTTCTGACTAAATTGTAATGGCTGCTGTCACTTTAAGGAAAGTACCATGTTATGTTATAATTCCTAACCAGTGTTGGGGGTAATAACTTGCGTACACGAGCTGAGACCAGACGTGAGATTTGATCGTAGCCACCGCTCATGTCCATATTGATAAATTCCAAATTTTGCGTTAAAACGACCGTACGCTCAATTTTCTGTCGTACGTTCGTTTCGTAAATGAGGCCCAGTGTGTTTATGTGCGAGTGGTGTGTGTGTGTTTGTGTGCATCAATTAAAGCAGCGCATTAATATAGAACGGTGATTAAACTGGCTTGGAAGTACATGGAATGAATGAAAGTAAAATACTAAGAGCACAGCAGTGCATAGTATACCTGTTGTAGCACATTGTTTACTTTAAGAGTAAGTTCTGAAAAAAAAAGTTAAGTTAAGGTGTTCCTGTGGCTCAGTAGCAGCGCAAAAGGTCGTGGGTTCGATTCCCAGGGAACACCCACACACTGGTAAAAAACAAAACAAAATGTATAGCCTGAATGCACTGTAAGTCGCTTTTGATAAAAGCGTCTGCTAAATGCATAAATTATAAATAATTAATTAATTATAAATTAAGAGTACATGTAATGTTTAATTTACATGTAACATCTAATTTAAATGTAACGTTTTTATTTTAATGTAAGACTGTTTTATTTATTTTAAATTTAACAGTATCATGGAATGAATGAAAGTAAAATACTAAGAGCACAGCAGTGCATAGTATACCTGTTGTAGCACATTGTTTACTTTAAGAGTAAGTTCTGAAAAAAAAAGTTAAGTTAAGGTGTTCCTGTGGCTCAGTAGCAGCGCAAAAGGTCGTGGGTTCGATTCCCAGGGAACACCCACACACTGGTAAAAAACAAAACAAAATGTATAGCCTGAATGCACTGTAAGTCGCTTTTGATAAAAGCGTCTGCTAAATGCATAAATTATAAATAATTAATTAATTATAAATTAAGAGTACATGTAATGTTTAATTTACATGTAACATCTAATTTAAATGTAACGTTTTTATTTTAATGTAAGACTATGTTTTATTTATTTTAAATTTAACAGTATTACTTTCAAATGCTCTAATTGCTGAAGGGTCTGCACAACTTTTTTGTTCAAGTTCAAGTTGCATTGTTCAAAACACCTGTAGTAGCACA